TATATATATATATATATATATATATATATATATATATATATATATAAAGTTTAGCTCTGTAAATATCTTCAATGTTAACATTCAAGCCGTTGTTACCAACATAGCACATGAATAGAAGAGTTCCAGATTGCCTCATTGCCCTATTCTCCTCTTTATACAGTGATAAACTTACCTTTCACTTTTTTTTAAATTTTTTTTTAATTTTTAGGCAATTGGGGTTAAGTGACTTGCCCAGGGTCACACAGCTAGTAAATATCAAGTGTTTGGTCTGAGGCCAGATTTTAATTCAGGTCCTCCTGACTTCAGGGCCGGTGCTCTATCCACTGCGCCACCTAGCTGCCCCTTACACCTTTCACTTTAAAAAATATTCTAATGGGGGCAGCTAAGCAGCGCAGTGAATAGAGAACTGGCCCTGGAGTCAGGAAGACCTGAGTTCAAATCCAACCTCAGACACATAACACTCACTAGCTGTGTGACCCTGGGGCACTTAACCCCATTGCCTAGCCAAAAAAAAAAAATGTTCTAATGTTCTATGTTCCAAGAGACCTTCCCATTCTGGCATTCCACAAGTATATCAATAGATCCTTTCCTGAGCATAATTCAACTTCAGACTCATAGGGCAGAAGATCACATACAACCAGTCTTGGCTCTACCCCCAACCTAACCTGCCCTCACCATGCCAGTTGCATATTCTGAGGTCACAGAACCCTGTAAGCAGTGGGTACAGTTGACAATGACCATTCCACTCTCTGTGGCCTTCTTCAGCTCCCAAAGCAGATCAGGGTTGGTTGGTCCATTGCCTGAGCCAAAAGTCTCCATCACCACCCCCTTCATGGGGGGCTGTAGGAAGGCCTTCACCTAAGAGGAGAGAGACCAGCATGACCAATAATACCAAAAGAGAAAAGGATAAAATTAACAGTGTGATCTAATGTAAAGGAGCCCAGGTTATGGGCCAGGAGACCAGTTTCTATCTTCACCCTGGTTACCAAAGTGCTGTATAATCTGGAACAACCCATTTGCCCTCCCTGGGCCTCAATTTCCTCCTCCATTAAATGGGAATGAAGATGATGACGATAAGGGTTAATAACAATAACAATACCTGTCCTGCTTCCTTCATGGCACTGTAAGGATCAGTGAGAGAATAGATATAAAATAAAATTTGCTTTAAAAAGCTACACACATAATTATAATGACCAAGCTAGAGCCTGAAGAAGAGTTGAGAAAATTTCCTCGCTTTTTCTTTGTTGCAGTAGGAGACGACAGGTATCGATTACTGCATACACTATCAGGCATAGTTAATGTGTTGTTTTGTTTTGCTAAATTTTTTTTCTCTCTCTCTTTTAATCATGCTTACAAGAGATGGCTCACTAGGTAGGGGAAGTGGGATGGATACATTCAGAAAATAAGATGATATAAAAACAAAAGATATCAATGAAATAAGATATACACATGTACATAGTACTTTTGAGGCATCTTTAATATAACATACATATACACATACATTATATATATACAAATATATATAATATATATAAATATATACACATATATAGTTGCTGGAAACTCCTTGTACTGAAGAACTCACAATCTGGTCTATATTTACAGATATGTGCATGTCTACACATATGTATATATATTATGTGCAAGTATATATAGAAATACATGTACATATGTGTATGTATGAGACCAGATGTGAGATTTCATCAATATACTATATGTATATGTGTGTATATGTATTCATCAGTACAAGGAGTTCCCAGTGAGAAACTGCCTTTACCTATGCAGGCCAATCTTCTCTACAATTTAGTCCTAAATTACCTGGTGCCCTGAGAAGTTAGGCGAGTTGCCCAGGGTCACCCAGCCAGGATATGTCAGAAGCAGGACTTGAACCCAGGAATTCCTAACTCAGAGGCCAGCTCTCTATCCACTACAGCACACTGCCTTTCAATATTAATGCAGTATTATTACTTTTTAAAAGATGAGCTAGTCGTGTATGGAGAGTAGGATGAGTAACAGGTAGCCTTGGGCTCCTCTGGCATCCACAAGATGTCAAGAGAACTAGGGAGAGACAGCTAAGTGGCGCAGCAGATACAGCACCAATCCTGGAGTCCAGAATCCAGCCTCAGACACTTACTAGCTGTGTGACCCTGGGTAAGTCAGTTAACCCCCGATTGCCTCAAAGGGAGACAGAAAGAAAAAGAAAGAGAGAGAGAGAGAGAGAGAACTAGGGAAAGACCCCATATGTTTTGAGTTAACCCCCTGGTGAAAAAGGAAAAGGTCATGCATGGTGGTCAAACAGGTCCAGCTGGAAGAAGTACCCTCATTGAGGCAATCGCATATTCATGAGGATATGATCATTAATTCTCCACTAAAGTTGTCCTCCGGCACATATGGCATGGAGGGGACCCTGGGCTCTCCAGTGGGCTATGTCAATGAAGCACAAACTTGGGCAAGTCCTGCCAAGCCCAGCCAGGCAGGTTTTGAGTTCTAGTCCAATGCCTATCATTTAAGGACCATTCTAGCTTGGGCAAGGAAGCTCAATACCGGAAAGGTGGCTATCCAGAGAAGGACTGGCATGGGAGAATGTATGGAGAGAAGGGGCAGAGACTTTACTGAAGGTGAAGATGATAGAGTGGCTGTGACCCAAACTCAAGGAAGAAGGGCACACATTCAGGAAACTACAAAGCCTTGAAGTATTTAAAAACTACTACTACTACTAATGATAATAATTATTACTGCTAATTAACTAGTACTATGATGAGAAGCCGAGTGGAGTAGGAGTAGTAAAGAGGGACACCTCAGAGTCAGTCAGGTGTGCTAAGAGCCGAGAGTACAATCTTCTCATTTTATAGATGAAGAAGGGAGGCTGAGCTTTGGTGACTTGCCCAGGGTTATTATCTGGTAAAGACAGGGATCTTCCTAACTCCCAAGTCCAACACACTCTGTCCATTAGGCCCCAATTAGGGTATCCTCAGAACCTCTTCCAGCCTTGGCTCCGACCCAGAAATGGAAGCACTTTACTGCTATTGACCTGTGGTTTCTCCTGGCAATGGGACTGCCTGCATCAAGGAGTTCATGGATCCGTGGTGGTATATAGAGTTACAAGCTTCATTACTTTATTAAAAAAAAAACAAACTCGCATCATCAAAGCATTTTGAAATCTCACAAAGTGCTCTCCTCATAATAGCCCTGGAAGACAGGTTTGGTATTATTGTGCTCACTGATTGACACAATTTTGTAAATAAGAAACTGATGCAGAGACACAGGAAGTTACTTACCCAGAGTCACATAGCCAGTAAGCATGAGAGTTAGTCCACAAACACATATCTCCTGAGGCTGACTGTTTTGTCCAACATTCTATGCTGCCTCCTCATAGAATACACAAGTTCCTCGGCTCTTTAGGCCAAGACAGACCATGAAGGAGAGAGCTCAGCAGAACAGCAGGCATCGGATTGGAAGTTAGAGGACCTGGGTTTTGACCACAGTTCTGCCACTGATTTTACTACCTGTGTGACATTGAATGAGTCACTGTTCCTTTCTGGGTCTTTGATTCCACAGCTCTAAACTGCAGGACGTGGACCCAGTGACCTCGAAGGACCCTCCCAGTTCTACATCTATGATCATTCACCCTTGTGTCCCTGTTTGTTAAACTCATCAGCTCCCAGGGTGACATATTTATAAACTGATATCTCCTTTGAGAACAGGAGCCCTCAACTCCCCCAGCAAAACCCAGTGATTAAAATAACCTGGAGGGGGACAGGCCCGCTACTGCTGAACGACCTCAGATAAGCTCTGCAGGGTTCAGTCTGACAGCACATATTTTTATGAGCCATAAATCCACACGTAGGAACACAGAAATATTCATCAGCAGAACGGTGTGAGTTCCCTAGGTTGGCCCCTGGAGAACCCAAGCCTCTCGCCTGGGTGGCCAGAGCTGCCAGCCCCAATAAACAGTCCTTTTAATCCCTTAGCCGATTCAAATCCTAGGAAGCATCACATTCCAGGGTGCAATTTATTTAATTAAGGAAGCATAAGTAGATTTTTATTTTTCACCTGAGAAATAGGATTTCGTTGATGGGAAGCTACCCGAATGATGTTTTTTTTTTTTCCTAGACTGTGCAAAATCAAGCGGTTGACCTTGATGACCTACTAGGCCCCTCCTACCTCAATTATTCTGTGTTCTGTGATTATTCTAGTCCACAAATTCTTTACTTAAATGTCCTGGACCCTTTTGGCACTCTAATGAAGCCTATGGACCTTTTCTCTGAATTATGTTTTTAAATGCATAATAAAATAAAATATATAGGATTGCAAAGGAAACCAAATATACTTAAATACAGTGATCCAATCATTTTTAAAATCAAATTCACAACCCTGGGCTAAGAAACCCTGATCTAGGATACTTTCCTGTCCTGGAATTCTGTGGTTGGTGATCTAAAGAGCCCACTCAGCTCTGACATTCCATATTGTACAGTCACATACAGCCTATGACACTTCCTGCTCCATGAAGGACAATGTGACATAATGAGGACACCAGAATTGGAATCAGGAGAGGTATGAGCTGGATTCCCAGTTCAGTACAATCTTCATTAGCTGTATGACCCTGGGCAATCACTTAATTGCTCTGAGACTCAGTTTCTTCATCTGTAAAATGGAAATAATAATACTTGGGCTCCCTCTCTCCTGTGCCCCAAAGAGTTCTGGTTTGTGGACAAGGAGAGTTTATTTTTGATCTACCCCCCCTCACTATCTTCCCATTTGCTTTGACTTACCTCAAAAGAATTCTCATACACAACTCTGATTTATTACTGAGACAGGTCTATTTGTTTGTTTGTTTTTAATCAACACAGACTTCCCAAATAAGTCTTGCACACCTGGGTCATCACAAACTGATTATCATAAAGCTGCTCTCTTTGCTCAAACCATTTTAGGAATGACTCTTGTAGGGGGAGGGGTAGACTTCTGAGTTTCACAGAACAAGTTGCAAAGGGATCTCTGAAGACCTCTAGTCCAATATGTACCTGACCAAGATTTCCCTTACATGAATCCCAGCAAGTGACAGTACAGCCTTCCTCAATAGAGGTCTTCAATCCTAGGTGAGGGGAAATCCACTGCATCCTAAGGCAGCCAATTCTACTTTTGAACAGCTCTAATTAGTAGGAGCTTTTTCCTTACATTAAGCTTAAATCCACCTTTCTACAACTATTCACCCCTCCCTATTGCCCCTAATTCAGATCTTTTGGGACCAAAAAGAACAAATTTAATCCCTCTTCTCCATGACAGTCCTTCATTAACTTGAAGACAGCTTTCATGTTCCCCCAAAGTAAACATCCCCGGCTTCTGCCACAAATCTTCACTAATTGCATGTTGAATTGGATAGATCTGAATGCTCCTAGCCCCTTCTCCATACTAGCTACCTTCCTCTGGACAAGCTCCTGCTCATCATTGTCCTAAAGAATGGCACCTAGGTAGTGCAGTGGATACAGCCCTGGCCCTGGAGTCAGGAGGACCTGAGTTCAAATCTGACCTCAGACACTTGATGCTTACTAGCTGTGTGACCCTGGGCAAGTCACTTAACCCCATTACCTAACCAAAAAAAGGAAGAAACAGCAGAAAATTGAGAAAGAATTTTTGCAACCAGTATCTCTGATAAGGGCCTCATTTCTAAAATATATAGAGAACTAAGTCAAATTTATAATACAAGTCATTCCCCAATTGACAAATTGTCAAAGGAGATGAACAGGCAATTTTCAGATAAAGAAATTAAAGCCACCTATAGTCATATGACAAATGCTCTAAATCACTATTGATTAGAGAAATGCAAATCAAAACAACTCTGAGGTACCACATCACACCTA